TGCAGAGGTCACCTGGAGCTTCATTCCCTTGTGACCAAGGTCAGGAATCATCATGGAACACACAGCGTCTGTGGAGCTGGCCGCTGGCCTCCCACCCCACCGTGACCATTAAACCTCACTTCAGGACACTCAGGAGCCACTGAAGTCCCCACGCCGGGAAGCGACAGGATTAAAGGCCAGCGGGGAGCCCACCTGGAGACTGTCGGGGGCTCCTGAGGCTGGGTCTAGGGAGGGGTGCGGAGGGCGCCTGCCTCCCTCATGCCGGGCGGAAACTGATGCACCCAAGGTGCATCACCCTGCTCCAGAGAGGGGGGCTGTGGGTGGGGTGGTGGTCGAGCCACCAGCTGTGGCTTCTCAGTTCCAGACTTAAGAGAGGCAGATCTGACCCACTGGATTCTGGGGTCAGCCCAGCCTGTGTCCTAACCCCTGTGTGACCCCAGGCAGGCTCCGCACTTCTCTGAGCCTCAGTTGTCACATCTGTAAAATGGGGGAAATAAGAGAACCTACAGATTCAGAGAGGTGGCCTGGAGGTAGAGGTCAGCATGGGTCAGCATGGGGATGGCACCGGGGATGCCGTTGTTCAAACCCAAGTCTCCCCGGCTGCTGACCCCCCTGTAGGGGACAGTCCCCTCTCCAGGAGCTTAAGGCCAAGCCACCTTGTATTCTCTCCCTCCCCCTAACTCTGCCATCGGCACCTCTCAGGGCAGTGGACACAACAGGCCCTCCACCCTGATTCCTCCAGGGTCAGGATCTCGGTGACTTTCAGATGCAGGCGACGGGTGACCCTTCTCCTCCATCTTGCAGATGGGAAACGAAGTTGAGAGAGGAACAGGAATTTGTCCCAGAAACACAGGAGTCAGGGAGAAAGGCAGCTGGATCCAGTTGTTAGGGGCATTGGGGACGGTCAGCCTTCGACACAGGCCCTCGAGGGCACACTTTCTCACCACCCACCCCTGCTCACTGGCTCCAGGCTTGCTGGCCTCGTTGCAGTTCTTCAAATTAATCAAGCTTGTGGCCACCTCAGGACCTTTGCACCTGCTCTTCCCTCTGGTGAGCCCACAGCCTGTCCAGCCCTCGATTTAAATATCACCTGGTCAGAGGGGTCTTTCCCGAACACCCAGGTTGAACCCTCCATGATTCTCTTATTTCTACCTCCTTGCTTATTGCAATATGTTAATTAGTTAAATTTGTATTTGAAACTATTATTATTATTATTATTTTATTTTATTTTTTGCCAGTCTCTGCGTTAGCCTGTGCAGCTCAGTGCACACATGCAGGACTGCGTCCGTCTGTCTTGTGAACTGCTCCATCCCAGCCCCCCACCTGGCCCAGGCCCCGCAGGTCTACCGAGCGTGACTGACAGGTGTGTGAATAATCGTGTGCAGGGGTAAACATGGAAACGCTGGGGCCGGGCCTGGGTCCACGGCTGCACTGGACTCTCAGGCCTCCCCTGTGAGCTGGATCCTGGAGGCCTGCACCAGAGCTCATCCTCTGAAGGGCTGCTCTGTCAAAAGAGGCGGATGCTGCTGTTGCCAAGGCAACGGAGCTGGTTTCCTGGAGGCACCTTTAAACTGGAGAGTTGAAGGCCCGGCAGATGGAGGGGAAGTAGACCCAGCAGCAGGGCTCAGAACCCCACCCCTGAGACAAGCCGTTTGGAGGCTGGCCTCCCGTGCCCTTGCCCCTCCAGGGCCACCATCCTCCGGCCCATGGCTGTAGTCTGGAGGTGCCCAGCAACTCTGCCCCCTGTGGAAATCACCCTTGCTGGGGACGTGCAGAGACCTCGGGGATGATGTGTTGGGCTTCTCTGGCTCCATTAGGCTCTACCAGGTGCCAGTGGGAAAGACAGACTGGTCTTGAGGCCTTTCCAGAAAGTTCCTTCAGCCCTTGTTCTAGGTAGAGGGACCCACTTGAACACTGCTGTTCCGGGGCCAAGATACCTCCAGGGAGCTCGGGAAGAAAGACGAAGCTCACAGACAGAAGAGCACTGGCTGAGTGGCCTTGTTTGAAATACTTTCCGTCTCTGAGCCCTAATTTCTTCATCACTAAAGGGGGAGGTCACTGGTCTGATGTAGGGAGAGGTGACAAAGATTTTGCACAGGAACCTGCAGATGCAGGAATCTTAGAGCTAGCTTCTGCAAGCTTTGGCCCCCAGGAACCCCAGGCTGACCCACGGTCACACCAGCCATGTCCCCTAGGGGCTGTGTGCTGCCAGAGCTCTCTGGCTGGGCCTGTGTGCAGCTGTTGGGAGTCAGTGTCACCAGGGCCTGACATCTCTGGGTAGGGCATTTTAACACCTTTATTTTACTTATTTATTTTCATGTGGTGCTGAGGGTGGAACCCAGTGCCTCACACATACTAGGCAAGGGCTCTGCCACTGAGCCCCAGCCCAGCCCAGCCCCGCCCAGCCCCACATCTGTGTGCCTGATTGTCTGAGGCCACTGGGGATGAGCTGGGCCTGGGGCCAGGACTGGAGGGCAGGAAGGCAGGAGAGAGGCAGAGTTGGAAGAATGTCCCCGAGAGTCAGGGACAGGTCGGAGGCACAAGAACACCCGTCCTGTCGCCCCGCCTCTTTCTTCATGAAACCAGGACTTGGGTGCAGCTGATCCAGCTCCCTGGAGCCAGGCGTGATCATGTGACCCAGGTCTGGCCAATCAGAATCAGCGGTAAGTACAGGGAAGGGCCCAGGACTGTGGCTGGAGAGCATCATTCCTTTGACGGACCCACCGCACCAAGGGCTTCCCTGGCTGGGGATGCTGAGCTGGGGGGACAGAGCCCTGGCTGCTGGGGCCACCTCCTCGGGACAACGCCAAGGCCAGGAGGTGGAGGTGAACATCATTGGAGCCCCTAGAGCTAACCATACCTGAAACTTGATCTAGTCTTTCCAGATACGTGAATCCACTCATTCCCTAGCTAGAGATCCCGTGCCTGTGCCTGTGGGTCCTGGCCTGGAGGAGGAGGAGGAGGGTGAGAACAATGACGTAGGGGAACCGAAATCGTCTTCCTGGCTTTTTAGAAAATTGGAACAGAGACAGGAAGGAACTTGGGCCTTTACCCCTCCAGGTCCCTGGGCTCTGGCCTCCCCTCCAGCATGCAGCCAGCCTCTACTCGAGCTCTGCAGTACGAAAATAATGTGTTGGGTTTAAAATCAAAGCGGCCTCCCCTTTCCTGGACCTGGGAGACGGAATGTCACGGGCAGGGGCTGCCTCGCTCGCTCCGCTCACCCTTCAGGAACCACCGCTTATAGGCACCTGTTTTGTGCCAGGTTTTGCTGAGGAGCTCACAGCCATGTCCCCTTTCCCCGTCCCCACCTGGTGAGGAGCGAGTCCAGTCTGTTTCACAACCACTTGAGAGCTGAGCCTTTGGTCTCAGGTCTCAGCTGGGCCAAAGCCCTGCCCTGGCATCACACTGTACACAGGAGGCGCTACATTAAGGCCTGCTGGGCAGGTGCTCTGCACGGCTGTTGGGGCTTCCTGGGCAGCCGCCTGCCCCTGGGTACTTCCCCGTCCTCTTGAGATGCCGCCATCAACAGCCACGTCCACTGGACCTTGAAGGAAAGGGCTGTTTCCGTTGAAGGGGTCCAAGGAGGACCGTGCTGTGTGCTCGGGGTGCAGTGGCACTCAGGCCGGCGCAGAGGGGTGCAGGGTCCCACTCCTGCCGGCCCCACCTCCTCCAGGAGGAAGCCTGAAGACGGTGCTTCCCAGCAACATGGTAGGTGGGGTCCCACCAGGACCACGGTGTCAGGGCTGAGGGGCCTCATGGGGCCAAGGAGGGGACACTGTGATGGGGGGCGTCAGAGTGATGGTGACCACTTCCGGACTCCAGCCTCTCTGCGAGATGCTCACGAGGAGCCCCTGAACCCCCAAGCTCAGGGGAAGGCCCAGGCCACCCAGCCCCTTGCAGACCCCTGCTCAGGCTCTGCAGGAGGAGGCCGGAGGAGGCTGGTTTCCTGCGGAGGCACCGGTCTCCCACCCAGAAATCTGGACCTGAGCCTGGGGTGGCGGGGCCCCAGGGAGCCCCAGGGAACATTAGCTCAGAGCATGCACAGGGAGCCAGGCCCAGACCTTCTTCAGGGTGGTGTGTGCGTGTTTTTTTTTTTTTTTTTTTTTTTTTTTTTTTTTTTAAATATTTATTTTTTAGTTGTAGTTGGACAGAATACCTTTATTTGATTGTATGTGGTGCTGAGGATCGAACCCAGGGCCCCGCGCTTGCCTGGCAAGCGCGCTACCACTGAGCCACAACGCCAGCCCGTGTGCGTGTTTTAATTCAAAGCTCCTTTTAGAGACTGTCTGAGGTTGTCACTGAGGTCCCTGTAGGTGAGAACAGCTGGGGGTGACAGATGGGGCCCTGGGGCTCCTCCTCCTGAAGAGGGAGGGCCAGGGCACCCATAGCCCGGAGGTGGGACAAACAGGGACCATTTTCAAATACATGAATTTGAAGAACGCTGCTCGCTCCAGCCCCTCCACGGGCAGTCATGAGGCAAATGAGCTCGTCAAAGGCTCTGACAAGTCCTGCAGCTAGGGACGCCCGGCTTCTTGGACTGAACCTGCTATTTCTCTCCTACTTGACCACGGTACTTACTTTAGAGAAGAGCCCCGATTGTTACTTATGGAACACCCTCTGGGACACGTTGGGGGCCAAGGAATCCCTCTAAGACCTCCTGAAGCCCCTCAGAGACCAGGTGTGCTCCACAGACATTGGCTCCTAGGAGCAGTGACCGGTGGGGACAAAATAATGAGCATCAGGGGTAGGGGCAGCCCCCCTTCAGCTTTGAAAGTAAGACTCGAGGAGATGTCAAGGCCAGGCGAGCTTGGGACAGGAGCTTGGAGCAGGAGATGCCCCCTGCCAACCCAGGGCACAGAAGCCAGACTGTTCCCGGAAAATTCCTTTGCCGGCTGCCACCAATCCCATTAGCCGGGTCTTCCTTTGAGAAGCCAAGTTTATTCTGTCCTTTACTCATTCGGGAGGCCACGACCCTCGAGTGGCCAGGAGTCCCTGCGGGAGGCAGGGGAGGGGGATGAGGACCCCCATCCCCCTTGTCACAGATTGAAGGGAGTCAGGACACAGCGACTCCAGGAGGTGACCCGGGCAGGGGTGGTCCCGGGTATGGAGTGACGAGCCCAGGCTCTGTCCCACGCCGTCCAGGCTGTCCGGGGATCCGCCTCGGGGCTCCCCCGTGTGGTCCCTCGGGGCGCAGCCGCTCACTAGCCGCCCACGGGTCGGATCATCATGCGGGTGGCCCGCAGCGAGTAGCCGGGGCCGCGGAAGTACTGCCAGCGGACGCCGTCCATCCTGCGCAGGTGCTGGCCGTTCTGGTAGTAGGCGCCGTTGAGGTTCGAGAGGCCGCAGGCGTCAAACCACCACCCTGGGGGAAGGGGGGATCAGAGCTTTGGGGAGTGGGGGTCCTGCCGGTGGGGTGAGGGCAGACCCCGCCCCCCCAAAAGAACAAAGCTGGATCAGGCTGCTCCTGGCGGGGAGCTGCGATGGGCAGGGGCTGGGTGTGGGCAGGGGCTGGGCTCTGCGCAGCTGGGACCTCTGGAGGGCAGTGGGGCCCCACCCCGCCCCTCTGTGCTCCCCCTTCTCCCGCTGAGTCCCATCCACGGCTCCGACCTTCCATCGTCTGGACTCCTAGCGACCCCTCCCTTTTCCATCGGTTTCCAGGGGTCTCCGTCTCTTTCTGAGCCTTTCGCACACGGGACCTGTCCCCTCTCCCAGTGACTCTCTCCGGCTGGTCCTCTTTCTCTGATAGGTTCTGATTCTGGTCCCTGCTGCCCGCTTCCCTGACTCCTGGGTTTCCCTTTCCATTTCTCCCTCTGGCTTCTCTGTCCCTGTGTCACTGTCCCCACCCTCCTCTTACTATCAGTCTTGGTGTCTCTCTCTGTCCCTGTCTCTGGGATTTAGGTCTCTGTAAGGCCTTCCCATTCTGTCCCTCCTATTTTTTTCCTTCCTATCAAGGATTGAACCCAGGAGTGCTTACCCACTGAGATGCACCCCAGCCCATTTTATTTTATTTGGAGACAGGTTCCCAACAAGTTACTTAGGGCCTCACAAAGGTGCTGAGGCTGGCCTTGAACTTGCCATCCTCCTGCCTCAGCCTCCCAAGCTGCTGGGATGACAGGTGTGAGCCTCTGTGCCTGGCTCCCTGTCTCTTGCCCATTCTGTTCCCACTCTTTGACTTCTGTCCCTGCCAAGGAGCCCTGCCCGAGCGAGGGCTGGTGGCGAGCTGCCCGGGTCTCCCTGGTCCTCTCCTGCCTGCCTGGGGGAGGGGAGTTCTGAGGCCAGGGTTGGAGCTGCCCCTGCACCGTGCCCGCCTTCAGCATTCCTCCAGCAGGCCTCCTGAGGAACGCTGGCAGTGCCAGGCTTCGGAGGAGGTGCCCGGCTGGGAGGTGCGGGTTGAGCCGGGCTGGTGGGTGCGCTCACCTCCCGACATCAGCTGGGCGCACTTGCAGACACAGTTATCGTTGTCTGCGTCGCGGGTGCTGAAGTTGGCGCTCTGAAGGAACAGGCCGGTCTGGCGCCCCACGGAGCCATTGTACCCAGACAGAGAAATCCTGGAGCCACCGAGGTGGTGTTGGAGAAGGGCCAGAGTCAGGTTGGGGGGCCTCCCTGGGGACTTTGTCCAAGGCTGGGTCTCTGATCACTGGCCACCCTCCCTCTTGACCACCCTCCCTGCCTGCTGCCTCTGGGGACAAAGTGGCTTCTGCATGCAGGACCTCCTCCTCTCACTGAACCTGGTCTTGGAGAGGAGCAAGGGGCATCAGAACAAGGATAAAGGCTGATGTTTTCTCAAGCACCTACTATGTGCCAGGCACTGTTCAAAGCACTTGTCTGGGTAACTTGTTCTCATTTGAACCTCAGGATACCCTTTCACATACCAGGAGTGGGGTCCCTGGGAGCCAGTTTCCTGCCCAGGTCTAAAATCAACAAGGGCTGGTGCCAGGTGCAGCCACCTCTTCCAGGAAGTCCTCCCTGCCCCCACCAGCACCCACGGATCTGTGCCCAGGGCGCCCCCAGCCCTGTGACTTCGACCTCTGCAGCCAGAGGGGTGGGCAGGTTTGTACATCTTTGCCAGACTCCGTGGAGGGCCGAGTGTGGGTAGCTGCAGGGCGGCGCCAGCACGTGGTGTGTGTTCCACACGCTTGTTGGTCCCCTGGCACATCCTGAGTCTGGCTGGAGAACGTCAGAGGCTTGGCACTGAAAGGGGCCCCGCGGGCAGCGGAGGGGAGGAGCTGGGCTGGGAGCAACTCAGAAGTTCCTACAGGTGGTGGCAAATGGCTGGGGTGGCTTAAGGAAGCTCTGGCTCCCCAGGGGAGGATCTGGGAGAGGCCCCCGTGGGACCCGAGGGAACGAGGGGCCTGGGTCTGTGGCTGGCTCAGTCCTCAGCGTCCAGATGGCTGTGCACCATGGCGCCCTCACCATGCCCTTGAACATGGCGCCCTAGGCTGGTGGGGCTGGTGCAGCCAAGAGTCCTCCCACTAGGGGGTCCCTGGGTGGGGACTCACAGGCTGTCCCCCACTCCTGTGGTTCTGGCTTCTCCTTGTGGTCATCCGGGGCTTCCCTGAGGGCTCAGGGATGGGAGCCCCTCTCTTCTGGAAGCCGGAATGAGGACTTGTGACCTCTGGTGGCTCCGCCTCATGGCTCAGGCCAAAGAAAACCTAAATACGCAGGTCTCTTGGGGATGCCCATGAGGCGTTTCCCAGGCCCAGGGATCTGTGCAGCCCTGAGCATCTGTCGTTGGATCTGGATCTGGTTCTGGTTCCTCGAGCCTCTGTTCACGGGCATATTGCTGGTGCTTGTGTTGGAGCCTCTGGCCTGGGCCTGAGTGTGCGCTCTAGATTCTGTCCCTGTGTCCACCGGGGACTGTGTGTGTGTGTGTTTTCCTGCAAGGGCTTTTGGGAGGCCCATTGGCACACGTCCCACCGTGTGCCTGTGTTTGGGGTGTGCGTGTTTGTGCAGTTATGCACGTGTGTGTATGTGTGTGTTTGTGTGTGCACGCGTGTGCGTGTGCGCTCTATAGGCCCGTGTGTGTCCTGCAGGGCTGGGGCGAGCCCCTCCACGGCGCCTGGGCGGTTGTATTTTCTGCACTTGTATTTGGGTCCGGGCCTGTGTGTGCCTCTGGTGTCTGTCCCTCCCGCCTTGCCCCATGCCAAGCCGTGCCTTGGTTGTGCCCCCAGCCCTCCTGGGGGTCGCTTCCTATGCCCGCACCCTCCATGCTCAGCACCCCAGCTGGGCTTCACGAGGACCCCATACTGCATCTGGCAGGAGAGAGTGCCCCTGCCACCCTGGTGCCCACTCCCCATTGCTGACTGGCCACCTGAGCACCCTTGCCTCTGGCTTCCTCGTGGGGACCCTCTCCTCCTCAGCATCCCCTTGACTCTGGAGGGTGGGCATCTGCCGTCCTCCCCCTCCCACCCTCTTCTGGCGGTTTCCAGGCCACCCTTTGGTTTCCTGTATCCCCAACCCCAGTCTCCTGGGCTCTTCCTGAATGAGCCCGTGAGGTCCCAGCAGCCCTGGCAGGTTCCGGGTACGTGTGACCCGGCTGCATGCCAACTCTGCCTTTTCTCAGACATTCCTGCTGCCTGGGTGCTCTTCTAACCCACTCTGGAGAGTATGCACGCACTGCAGGCGTCACCTTCTCCTGGGGTCCTCCCTGACGGCACGACACCTCCACGCCCCCTTCAGCCCCTGCTGTCTCTCCAGGGGCACCGGTGGCCTGTGAACATGCCCACACCCCACACAGGACTGGGAGCACTTTGAGGGGGCGGGGCCTGGGCCTGATTCCTTCCCAAATGAGCAGTGCCAGCCTGTGTATGGTCCTGTCATTCAGGTTCTGCAGAGGGTCAGCTCTTGTAGCCTTGAGCCTCACAGTCTGAGGCCATGGGCAGGGAGCTCCGTGGCCAGATGAAAAGCCAGAGGAGCTCATCCAATTCCAACAGGAGAGCACGGCGGGGTCCAGACCCACACCCACGCTGGAATGGTGGACAGACAGCACAGACGGAGCTCTGGAAACGTCATGCTTCTGTCTTTGAATATGTTGTTTGTATGTCTCCACCTTTTACATAACACTTATCATATGATGGCCTTACTGTGGTGTGGTTTGGCAGCAGGGAGGCCCGAGTCCTATCCAGGCTCTATGTAGCTTGTCATTTTGGGCAAGGGATCTGAGCTTGGTGCCTCGGTTTCCATACTACTAAAGCAGGTACTCTACCTCCAAGGGTTCGAGGCTGATCTGATAGAGTGCATGGAGCACAGTAGGTGCTCAATAAATGCTCCTTCCTTTTCTTACACACACCAGAAACAAGCTCGAGGAAGGGGTGCGGAAACCTCTTCTGGTTTCACAACATCCTCACATCCCAGCCCACTGAAGAAGCAGAGGCTCAGAGAAACCGGCCTGGACTTGTCCAAGTTCATGAGCAGCAGTGCCAGAAAGGGCCCGTGTCCCCCACCTCCCAACACAGGGACCTTTCTACCTCACCCCGGGGCATAGGACAGACTGGCCAAGTCCCTCCTGCTGAGTCTTTGTAAAATGAGTGACTTGGGGTGAGTGACCTTGGAAGGCCCCTTCCTGCTCCTGAGATGGCGTCAGTGACATTTTTTCCACCCCACCCTGTGGCCAGGACTGCTGAGTGCTAACCAACCGCCTCCAAATCCCGTGACGTATGCTCAAATGGGGGACAGATGGTGAGAATGGGAAGATGGCCAGGGACTGACCCCTGGTGCAGACTCGGCGGCCACTCGCCCAGCACCCCCAGCCCACCTGTGAGCCCGGGCCCCAGCCCACCTACCTGTACAACTGGGCCTCGCTGCCCAGCTGGAATCGCTCGTACTGGGCGTAGGCCTCTTGGCCTTCCCAGTCCTCCAGCTCCACGCGCAGAGAGTAGGTGGCCCTGCTGGTGAGCTGGTGGACGGCCTCATTGCCCAGCCAGTATTCCCCCGCTGGGTTTCCGAAACCCTACGGGGAGGAAGGGACACACCCCTGGCTGAGGAACTGGGCTAGGCCAGGCTCTGCAGCCCCTTATCCAAGACCACTGGGCCAAGGGGTCGAGTTCACTGACCCCTTGTGAACTGGACCTAGGAGTGGGCAGCCCCCATATCCCCGAGGAAGTAGACTCAGACACTTGTCAATGTAAAAGCCCATTAAAAATAATTGAGAGCCGGGCATGGTGGCACAGGCCTGTAATCCAAGCAGCTCAGGAGGCTGAGGCAGGAGGGTCGTGAGTTCAAAGCCACCTCAGCAACTTAGTGAGGCTTTAAGCAACTTGGCAAGACCTGAGTCTCATAACATACAAAAAGGGCTGAGGATGTAGCTTAGTGGTTGAGTGCCCCTGGGGTCAATCCCTAGGACCACTGCCCCCCACCAAAAAAAAAAAATTGAGATCACATTTTTTTGAAGTTCAAGAGCAGACAAAAATAATTGGTGACAACAGAACACTGATTACCTTTGGGGAAATATTGACTGGGAGGGGGCACAAGGGGGTTTCTGTGTGCTGGCAGGGTTGTCTGTCTAGCTCTGAATGGTGGTCAGACGGGTGAATACATGTGTGAAAGTTAATTGAGGTGTACACTTAATTATTTATTAAACCTGTGCACTTGGCTGCATGGATATCAAACCTCGGTTAAAAAAAATTTAAAACTTCATCTGCTACCTAGATGGCAGAACAAACTTTGTTCACTGACAGAGCCACTCTGCAAGGTAGAAATGTAAAGCTAAGAGCGCAAGGAGTGTCCTGTCCCGCGTGACAACAACCAACGCCACTGGCAGAAAGATAATTCAGCACCAAGGACAGGGGCACACCTAAGCCCCGCCCCCCGCTTGAATCAAGCGGTGCCGCAAAGGGTTAGTATCCAGCATTCCTGCGCATGTTTCTGCATCTTTGGCATTTAAAAAAAATTTTTTTTGTTTAGTTGTAGATGGACACAACACCTTTTTTTGTTTATTTACTTTTATGTGGTGCTGAGGATCGAACCGGGTGCCTTACACATGCTAGGCGAGTGCTCTAGCTCTGAACCACAACCCCAGCCCTGCATCTTTAGCATTTTATAAAGATGTTTTTTAAAATATCAATAGATACAAGAACATTCATAAATTTATATCCAATGTATTTATTTTAAGTATTTATCCAATGAACTGCAAGCAAATAATATTTTACTTTTGAAAACTTTTAAGGGTTTTTAAGTCAGCTTGCCCCAAATCCTTCACTCAAAATTCAATTAAAAAAAAAACAAAAAAGGGAAGACTAGCAGACACACTCCTCATCTTGTACACTGCATGTGGGCTTCGAGCCAGCAGTTCACATTAAAGAATTGGTCTTTAAGATGTGGCCATCAATGTGTAAAAAGACAAGGACATCTGATTAAGCAATATACCAGGTGGGTGGGAAGATTTTCTTCTGTCTCCTCCATTTTACATTGGAACAATTTTTTAAGCAATGCACCTATATTACCTGTCCTAAAAGTTGAAACAAAATAAAGTTAAATTTTCAATCTTAGGACATATATCAGAAACTTCAAAAAGCCGGTTCAATTCCAGGGAATGGGGTCCCAGAAAGTGAATATGCACTGGCAAGATCTGTTTGGCTCTAGAAGAGCGGGATTTTTTTTTTCTGGGAAGGGGCGAAGGCACACCAGTCCCCGGCCACAACCCCGAGCCGCATCAGCCCCTCCGGCTGCAAAGCCCCTCCCCAGGTGGCAGTGTCACCTCTTTGTACTCCTTCCAGCTCCTCTGGAAATCCTCGCTGCCATCCACACGGCGCTGGATGATGGTCCACCCGCCTCCGTTGGACTCCATGCCACAGAACACCTGGGGGACAGGGGAGCAGCTGGAATCCCACGGGGGCAGCTGGAAGCCCCTCCAAGTCCAGAGCAAACCAGGCAGTCAAGGGCATCCGCCAGATCCAGGCTGCAATGCCCATGGGCTGTCATCATTTTCTACAGTGACTGACGGGTAGGGGAGGCCTCAGAACCCCTCTCTCCTTGTTTGTGAAAGGCGGGCGTTGACACCTTCACTGTGTGGTCCCCTGCCTCCTGGGCACACTGGTGTGACAGCGAGAATGACAGGGGTCAAGTCTGCAACGTGCTGGGGACACGAGGACTGACTGGGCCTGCGTTATTGTGGCTGGGCTGCTACGAGGACTAAGGCCGCAGCATGAAGTCCCTGGTGTGGACTCAGAGATGCAAGTCCTACCGTCAAGCAGCGTGCAGAGGTTTCCCAAACACCTTCTGGCGCGAGGCACTGGGGATGCCGATACAGATAAGATCAAAAGAATCCTCCCTCTCAGAGCTTGCCATCTATCCCAGCTAGGCCTTCCCGGCCGACCTCGGTGGACAGATTACTTTTCCAGCCAGTTCTGTGCCTGTTCCATGTTCAACGAATACATGTCTGGACTGGATAAGTCATCAGTGAATCAGGGGTCAATCAGCCGTCAGGGCTGGCTCAGTGTGGAGGAGGGTACAGTAGCCCAGACAGACTATTGACTGTGAACATCTGGGCAACTATGAATTAGAGGTAGGTCCTCCTTCTTAGAAAAGGTCCCAAGAAGTGACTCCAGAAGGAGTCACTCAGCAATCTTGGAAGGCTCCCTGGAGGTGGTGTCAGAACAAAGCATTGAATGATGATGAGACTCCCAGAGAGTGACAGGTGGATGGTGTTTCCAGGGAAAAATGAAACAGGAGTAGAGACTGCAAGATGGGAACAGCCCAAGAGAAGTTGTGGCACCTGTTCTGGGGGTAGCAGTGGGTACAGGAAGGGACTCCGAGGCTCAAAGAGGGGAAGCAGTTGCTTCCGGCAAGTGAGTCAAGAGTAAAGCTGAATCTGGGTGTGGTGGCACACGCCTGTAATCCCAGTGGCTCAGGAGGCTGAGGCAGGAGGATCTCGAGTTCAAAGCCAGCCTCAGTACTTTAGTGAGGCCCTAAGTAAGTTGTTGAGATCCTGTCTCTAAATACAAAGATAGGGCTGGGGATGTGGCTCAGTCATTAAGTGCCCCTGGGTTCAATCCCCAGTACCAAAAAAAAAAGGAAAGCTGAGGTGTGAGCCCTGGTGTCTCATCGCCCAGACAAGCTCCTCCCTATTACTGTCCCCAATCTCAGTCATTCAGCCATCTGCAATGCCACATTGTGGAATTTACTTACTTTCACACAGTATATTTACTTTAAAAAATGGAATCCTTTTTTTAAAAAATTTAAATAAATGCTTAGGTTAAAAATATTTTAAAAGGAAATCTTACCAGTACCATAAATAGAAAACTAGTAACACTTGCCTCTATTCAGATGATTTAAAAAACAAATCTAATAAACTGGACACGGTGGCCCATGCCTGTAATCCCAGTGACTTGGAGGCTGAGGCAGGAGGATTGCAAGTTCAAAGCCAGCCTCAGCAACTTAGTGAGCCCTAAGCAAGTCCGTGAGACCCTGTCTCACTGGGGATGTGGCTCAGTGGTCATGCACCTCTGGGTCAATCCCTGGTACTAATCCATAAATCTCCTGAAAGAAATAATGTCATGGGATTCTAGCTGGAGTTTGTGCCCACACAGGGCCCTGGACTTGGTCTCTTTTGTGAGCAGGTATGTGAGAAGGTGCTGAAGACAGTTTGCAGACGATCTGAGCCACTGTCCCTCACATACTCTGGGGGCTGAAAGGATCACGGAGCAGGACATGGCCACCTGCTCCCATGCCCTCCTTCTTCTGGGCTGCCCTGAGCCCTCCCTCCTGACCCCCTGTTCTCCTCCCACCCCTTCCCACCAGGCGACTGGGCTTAAAGCTCAGGACACCTTGGGAGCCCCTCATTGAAACAAGCCCCAGGTGCCAGTTTCCCAGGGGAGCAGAGCCCAGCTCCTGCCTTCAGTGGGACCCCTGTGAGCTGGAGATGCTAAGCCCTGGCATTTCGGTTCTACCTGCTGCACCACCCTTCCCCACACAACCATTTCCTGCAGGAGGTGCTCTGGGAACTTTTCCTTCACCTCCTGATCAGACCCCTGACTAGGGGGCCCCCAAAGGTCGGGCACCCCCACCTCCACTGGCATCTTGGATGGTTGAAAAGCCCGAAGCTGCTGGGGTCTGCCTGGGGAGCCCCAGCTCGGCGCCCTCTGCTCCCCAGCCCCCGGGAGGCACCCACCTTCTTGGGCTCCGAGACGTTGGTCACTCGGATGGTGTAGACGCCGTCGGCGGTGGCTTCGGAGCGGTGGATCTCAGCGCAGTCCTGGAACACCTGCTCAGGGGCCCTCATGGGGGCTACCCGGGGGACAAAGCAAAAGTCAGCTGGAGGTGAGCAAGGACAGGCGGGGACACCCTGCCCGCTCTGTGCAGGCTCTGAGGGGGGAGGGGTGGAGGGCGGGAGGCAATGGGGAGCTGGGACAATGACAGGGGTCGTCCAGGCAGAGAAGAGAAGTTCCAGGAAGAGGGAACCGCGGGGGCAGAGGCCCCCAGGTGGGAACAGTCCTGTGTGTGTGCGTGGGACACAAGGGATGAGGACAGGGGGCCTGGGGCCAAGGCCAGGGAAGGACAGTGACTCACGCCCCAAGATCAGAGCTGGGCTGTGTGAGGGAGGGGGAGGAGCGGAGAGGGCAGAAAGGAGATGAGTCTCCCCGGCCTAGAGCGCCAGGCTGAGCAGCCCCGACCCCTGGGCTGGGGAGGAGCCGCAGGGTCAGAGTGGAGCAGGGCTGGAGGCTGAGCCTCTGAGAGGGGAGCCTCCAGGGGAGGCTGCTCTGCTTTTGGGGAGAGGGAAATGGGCACCGGCACCCTAGGGAGGTACTTCCCAGTTTGCTGCCCTTCAGAGCAGGGTGGGGTCCAGGGGGAGGTGACTGGCTCAAGGACATGGGGGAGGGGAGACGGACAGAGCCCTCCCTTCTTGGAGCTCCACTGAGCGGGGAGCCCTGGCTCCCTCCCAGCCCTCCCTTTCAGCTGGTCTCTCTGCGGCTCCACATTCAGTCTTCTCTGGAGCTGACCACTGGCCATCAAGGGCCTCCTCCCTCTGGACTGTTTTTCTGGGGTCAACAGAGCATTAATTTAACGACAGAAACCACCAGAGTCCTTGGGCCTCCAAGTCTGGCCTGAAAAATAAACGATGAATCAAATACAGAGACTTATGCCTTTAAAAAAATTCTTCTTCTTCTTTCTTTTCATGGTATTAGGGGTCGAACCCAGGGCCTCGTGCATGCTGTGCAAGTGCTCTACCACTGGGCCACATCCAGAGCTTTTTATTTTATCTTGAGACAGGGTCTCACTAAGTTGACAAGGCTGGCCTCCAACCTGGTCGCCATCCTCCTGCCCCAGCCTTCCCAGTAGCTGGGATTACAGTCATGCGCCACCATGCCTGGCTAAAATGCAGAGATTTTAAATCCTCTCTCTGGTTCAATTAGTAGGACCCAATTAGAGGTTTGGGCTGTGATTCTACCAGAACCGGATCTCTCTGTGGAGGCCAGGATGGGACTGAAGTACCAGAGAAATAGGTGTTCAACACCAATGAGAACCAGAAGGCTACCAGGGGGTGGGACTTCCTGTTTGGGCTTCACACATGAACAAATCTCCCCAAATCCTGGCTCTGGGGCACCTGTCTGAAGGAGGCTGTTGTTCCCATATCACAATCGAGGTAACTAGGTCTCCAAATCCACCCCAGCCGGTGCATAACATTTCCTGGGCAGGGGTCTCCACTGCCCACCTGTGAGCAGCCTCCACCTCTGAGCCCCGAGGAGGTGGGGAATTTACACCATGCATTTACACGGGCCCAGCCCAGGTCTTTCCCTCCTGCGTCCCTGTCCCTCTAACCTGCCAAACCAGATCCCGGAGACACCAGGAAACCACTCTCCCCTCCTTCCCCAGCCTCTGCCCCCTGGACAAAGCTGCAGAGTGGCGCCCCCTTCCTGCTGGGCTTCAGGGTGCCTGGCTCCTGTGCCTGCCTCCACCTGTGCTCTACCTGGTGACCCTTCCTCTTTATCAGTTTTTCCGTCTAGGCAGACGGCAAGAGCAGCTCCCGAGTGTCCTTTGCTGGTGACAGGGGAGCAAGAGGACAGGGTATTTGGCAAAGGGTGCCCAGCACACCCTCCCCCTAGGCCGGACACTGGGCGAGCAGTGAGCCGCAGGGAGAGGTCCAGCCCGGCCCTGCACCTTGGGCTGAGCGACAAGCAACGCACACATGGGGACTCCCTTAGGCAGCCTGGCTGGCAGCTGGGCCCAGGCCAGAGTGGGTTCTGGTCACTCCACATCTTATGGCCTGGGAGGGTCCACTCTTCCTGCCCGTGGCTTTCTTAGAACTGTTGACCCGAGGATGGAGCCACAGCGGGATCCTCTGTCCCCAAATCCCTGTCAGCTGTGGCAACTGCAATCCCGTCCTCCTCGCTTGACTCCTGCCTCACAGCTGCCTGTCCCCCAACGGCAAGCCGCAGAGGGAGCCCCTTCTTTGTCTAACTCATTTCCCCTCTCTGGTTCCTGTCCGGGTTTTCTAAAAGGAGTCCCGCCCCGTCCCAACTCCCCCTGTGCTCCTGGCTGGCCTCAGGTTAAAGCTCCTTCTCCTTGGCACCGCCCCTTAGGCCTTCTAAGGTGGGCAAGGTCAGGAACTCTGCTGGCGCACTCCCTGGTTCCTAGCAGCCACCATGAAGATGCACTTCCTTCTCCTTCTCTCAGACACACAGAGGGGGGCGGGACTTTTTGCAAGAGACAGGGGCCATGACTGGGCTGTGCCCTGCTGTATCCCCAGCACTGGGCTTGGCACACAGTAGGTGCTCAACAAACAGTTGGTTGCTTGCCTGCTGGAAGCCAGAGACAGGAAGGCCTTGGCCACCTCAAATGCTGAGGAGCAGCCCCAGGCATTGCTGTCGCTTCTCAAGGAGGACAGGGATGCCTCCTCATCCTGTTGGCCAGAGGCAGGGGCATTAGTGGGAAAGAAGTCCTGGGCTGCATTACATCGACCTCCCGTCATTCCGTTCTATAGGGAGACTGAGGCCCAGGGCAGGGCAGGCCCAGGCAAGAGGGGTGGAGAGTGAATCCTGGAACCCAAACTTGCAGTCTGGGCTACGACGCCCTGGTTATGATCATCACTCCATAAACAGATGAGGAAACTGAGGCCGAGAGTGGGGGGGGCTAACCAGGGTCACGGTGACGTCGGGCAGAGTTTCCACTGGCTTCTTTTAGGATTGCTGCGCTGTTGTTCTTTCTATTTTACAGTCGGGGTGAGTGGGCCGGACCCCTGATGTGTGCCAGCTTCCACCCCCCTCCCCGCCGCGCGCCCCGCCCACTCACCGGTGCGCTCACCCGCCGCGCTCCCGCCGGGGCCCTGCGCCATCACGTGCACCAGGCGCTGCACCAACTCCAGCAGTTGGCGCTGCTGCATCTGCAGGCGACTCGAGTTGCTGCTGGCCAGGCGCAGGCTGCGCTCCAGGACGGCCAGGGCGCCGCCGTGGCTGCCCAGCAGGCGCCGCAGCTGCTCCTTCTCCTCGCGGAGGCTGGCCAGGTCCTCCTGCTGCTGCGTCTCCAGGGCCTGCAACCGCGTCTCCAGCGCGCTGCGGAGCGGGGCGCACGGGGTGAGCCCGTCGTCCGCAGAGCACGCACAGAAGGCTTGAGGGGAGGCTCAGAGAAGGAGCGTCCGGTTCTGGGTTACACTGCCCCGCAGTCCGTGCCCACGTGCCCACGTAGCCCAGACGGAGGAAGGGAGGAAGGAGAGACCCGGCCCCGGAGTAGTATGGTTTGGGATCCAGAAAAGGAAAGAGATCGGAGGTGGGGGGGGGGGGGCACAGCAGCAATCAGACAGTCATTACTAAATCCCAAATATGCTCGTCCTCTGACTCCACAGTCCAGTCTCAGGAGATAGCCTCCAGGGAGCATGGGCCAGGATGCCTTGGGAGATTGCTAGTAAAAGAGAAAAGAAGTGGCTTAGGGCCTCGCTAAGTTGCCGAGGCTGGCTTTGAAATCGCGATCCTCCTGCCTCAGCCTCCTGAGTCTCGGGGATTACAGGTGTGTGTATCACTGCGCCTAGCCATTGCCTCTAGTTCTAACCACCTCTAGTTCTAACCACGTGTTGGATGGTATAAAAAAGAACAAAGGTATTCATGGAAATATAGAGAGATACGGGTGAACATATGGGGGAAAGAGTGGAAAGACCCTGGCGGATACCCGATAACGAGAGAATGGGAAAGAATGTCCCCACCCTGCTGACTTCTGCAGGGTGGGCAGGGCTGACTTTCATTTTTATTTTAATTATTATTCTTTGAGTGGTGCTGGGGATCAAACCTCAGACCTCTTGCATGCTAGGAAAGGACTGCACCACTCAGCCACAACCCCAGCCCTTCACTTTTATGTTATTACAGGTCTCTGTTATTAGAACAAGCACAAAGTTATGGGTTAAAAAACAAAGAGGCATTTTTTTTTTTTTTTAAAGAAAGCTTTCAACTCAGCTCTTCCCCTTTTGGCATTTCATCCTCCAGATTTACTCCCATCTGAGTGAAATGAGATATGGAAGTGTTAGTCACCCTATCACCGGTTGGATCAACAGACTGGAAACAGAAACAACCTCAGTGTCCATTAATTGGGGACGGGGGAAAATAAATACTTTGGAACATTGGGAAGTTGGAGAAAAGAACCAGCAAACATGTCATGAAGTTGTAAAGCCATTTCCAAGGAACTGGGAAAAAATAGGGTGGGATGTGGAGTGTGCTTTAGTGGGGCTTAAAAAGGGGGGAGGGAGAGGCTTGTGCACATTTGCATGTTCATAAGAAGCCCTGGAATAGCCTCCACCAGGACAGAGACTCCTTCATTTATGAATCCCCAGGGTCCTACATGCCTGCACAAGGAGGGCTCAAAAAGTACTTGTTGTTACTCCCTGTGGCTCTGGAGGCTGAGGAAGGAGGATTGTGAGTTCAAAGCCAGCCTCAGCAAAAGCAAGGTACTAAGCAACTCAGTGAGACCGTGTTTCTAAATAAAATACAAAATAGGGCTGGGGTATGGCTCAGTGGTCAAGTGCCCCTGAGTTCAATCCTTGGTACAAAAAAAAAAAAACAAAAAAAACTTGTTGACCAAAAGCAGGGGAGGACTTATAAGAAGCGAGGGATGGGCGGGTGGTCACTGGCTTTAGTGGGTTTGTGGCTGAGGGAGGGAACATTTGACTCTATATCCAGTTGTCCTGACCCATTCTACAGACAGAAATAAGTTCAGCCAGGGCAGAAGGAATTTCCTCAGGCCCCAAATTATGCTACAGGAAGTGAGAATTTGGGTGCTGAAGCTCTAGGATTCTCGCTGTCTTTGTGGATCAAGGCTCATCGATAACATTCTCTGTCTGCACTGATTCTCAGGCACCTGATAACGAGTCCAGAGTAACTGAAAATGTCCCGGTTCTTGCCACCTAGACCTTGGGGTGGGGGAATAGCTATAAGAACCGCCATTAACTGTACCCAGATCAGAGGGGGTGGATGATCTTGTGATGTGATGTGTCCTGGCCAGCACTCGGCAACATCTGGCCCCATGGAGAGGTCGATGCCTTGCTCAGTGAGTAGATTGGCCCTCCTGAGAACTCTGACCTTGGCAGTTTTTCCTCCACTTAACTCCAAACCAAGATAAAATCAGGCCTCAGAAGTCAGATCCCTCTGCTTTATCTATAACCTGTGTCTATTTTTACCTTTGTAATTTAAAGGGTGTGCCCTTGAAGCATATTTGCATATAATGCAAGAACTCTCTGATATTGCAGACAAGAAATTGCTCACTGGTCTCTTCAGGGAAGGTGATCAGATGGATGGAATTAGGTGTATTTATTTACAAATAAGAGAAGCCAGAGCTGGGGTAGTGGTGCACATTTGTCGCCCCAGCCATCTGGGAGGCTAAGGCAGGAGGATGGCAAGTTCCAAGCCAGCCTCCACAATTCAGCAAGACCTGGTCTCAAAATAAAAACTAGAAAGGGCTGGAGCTGCAGCTCAGTGGTAAAGCATCCCTGGGTCCAAGTTCCAGAACCAAAACAAACAACAACAACAACAACAAAACCAATAGGTAAAGCTAATTAAAAAATTACCAGGTGGGTTGTAGAGGACGTAGATTTCATCTCAATAAAGCAGTTAAAATTTATAAAGTAAAGACAGAGAAAGGGAAGAATGAAAGACAATGAAAGATTGAAGGGAAGAAAGGAGGGAAAGTATCAAGGCGACCAAACCCTGGACACGCCTCTTCTCTGCCCACACGATACAGGGGAGCCTGGCCCAGGGCCGCCTGGACCCAGCCCCTGCCCTCCCTCCCTCCCAGTTAGCCTAGGCTCCATGCTCCGTGGGGGTCCAGACCCAGCCTGGCTCTGTGCCCACCCCTGGTCCCCAGCTCGAGAGCCCACCCTCCTGTCCAGCGCCCACCTGCTGCGGCCCTGCAGCCGGTGCAGCTCGTTGCTCTGCTGCAGCAGCTGCTTCTGCAGCTCGTCGGTGGACAGCGAGGTCTCCATCATCTGGACCTCCACGCGCGACGTCTCGTTCAGGACCTAACCCAGCCAGGAGCGGGTGGGACAGGGCTGGGTGAGCCCTAGGGAGCCCTGCCCAGCCCCCACCTGCAGGCCCTGGGCCTGCCACTCTGGAAACACCCACAGGTCACTCACACCTGCGGCCATGTGACCTCACTCGCTCATGGCCCTACGGACTGTCCTCTGGCTGTTCAGGCCCCAGAAGAGGTATCCTTGACCCCCGTAGCCAGTCCTCCAGCAAGTGCTGACAGCCCCACGGTTTCCCTCCACCAACTGCTATGGCCTCCGTCTCTGTCATCTCTTGTCCAGTGTCTGATACTAGCCTCCTTAAAGGGTTTCCCGGTCCCACCTCTGTCCCCTACTATCTATTTCCTACTGAGCAGCCTGATGCAGGCTTTCAAAATACAGCCACTACTCCAAAGCCTTCTGTGACTCTCCTTTAGGGAAACAGAAAAGCCAGGTCCTTGCCCGGCCAGCCAGGCCCCAGGCCACATGCCACATGACTTGTCTTCCTCTGTCATGTTTCTGCTCCTCCTCTGCCTCTCTCCCCCAGTCACTCCACCACACTGGGTTCCTGGTTGTTCCTGGAGCTGCCAGCACAGCCCCACCCCTGGGCCTTTGCACATGCCGTTCTCCCTGTCTGGCGCGCTCTCCCCAGTGAGTAAGCCTGCCTGTTCTGCTCACTGCTGTAAACTGGGGCCAGGCATCTTGAGTGGTGCCTGGTGTTCAGTGGGGGCTCAGCCAACACGTGCCCATCTGCTGCTCATTCCATCAACCTCTTGTCTCTCTCTCTCTCCATCCCTCTCTGCTGCTGTGCCACTCAGAGGGTCCTCCGCACCGAGCTCTCAGGGATTCTTCCTCTCCTGTGTGAGCCCCCAGGACAGGGGTGTGCTGCACCACCCCTCCCCAGGGCCCAGTGCAGACCCGGCACTGCCCAGTGTCTGCCCACCCCTTTGGGCCTGGAGGGTGACAATTTTAGGACAGGGTTTACTAGGGAGAAGATACCAGGGGCTAGAGGCCCAGGAGAGACCTGACCTCACCCAGAGACAGAGGTCAAGACAAGATGGCCTGGGCTTGCTTGTTCCCCCCACCCGCCCGTTACCTTGGCTTCCACGTTGGAGGTGCGGGCCACGGTCTCGTTCAGGAGGTTGGAGCCCAGCTCCAACATGGCGGCCGTTTGGTTCTGGACCATGTGCTGCTGGGCCCACGCCAGCTTTGACCTCAGATTCATCTGGATGTACCTCTCTAGCTGCGGGGAGACCATAGACAGGGGTCATGGGGAGGACTGGGGGAGCCTCCTGTCTCCTGTCCCTCCCACAAGTCTCCATGACGGGCTCAGCTTGTGCCAGGTCACCCAGACTGTCCCCTGAGTTTCCTCCTGGCCCCTGCACCTCTAGTCTCATCACATATGTGTCCATCCTTTGCCAGGCAGCCAGAGGGATCCCGTTAAACCCAAGTCAAGCCACGCCCTTCCTGCGCTCAGTACCATCTCAGGGTTCCTATCTTGATAGAGGAAAGACCAAAGTCCTCATCAAGACAGCATTTTCCTCCGTAACCAGTCTGGTCCCCTGTCTCCCTTTCCCCCTCCCTCCCTCCTGTTGCTCCAGATGCATGGCCTCTGTGACATCCCTCCAATGCAAGCATATGCCAACCTCAGGGCCTCTGCACACCCAGTTCCCTCTGTGTTCCTTCTAGAACCTCCCCCAATCCTATCCCCATCCATGTGGCTCACTCCCCCACATCATTTCAGGTCTCTTCATACACTTATCTCCCCTGACTCTATACTCTTATCTGCCCAATGTCAGCTTCATGAATCAAGGAACCTGGCCTTGCTCGCCACTTTATCTCCGTGTCTGGCATGATGCTCGCTCCACGGCGGGTCCGCTGCACATCTATGCTCAATGATGGACAGGGGGAGCCGCGAGGGTCAGAGGGCAGCGCCCATCTCGTGCCCTTTCCCCAGCTTCCCAGGGGAGGACCGGCCAGCAGGGGTGGGCATCGGGCTCCACTGCCCTTGCACAGTCTCACAGCTCCATTTGCCATCTGTGCCTCCACCTCTGGCCTCCGGTCTGCCAAACAGGGCCGAACGCGGTCTCTGAGGGCCCCACGATGCCCTCGCCAGCTTCACTTCTTTGACAGAACTGACTGCAATTTCCCGAGGGCCAGAGGAGCGGCCTGGCGGGAGACCAGAACCAAGTCGGAAAGGTGGACAGTGTGTTCTGGGGCTCCAAGCTGCGGGCAGAGCGCCGGTCTGTCCTCCGCATGCTGCACACATGCTGGCCTCTGGCCTGTTGAGAGCCACAGCCGGGAGTGGCCCCAGCAAACTTCCAGCTGATTGGCTCCTCTGCGGTGACGCTCATTGGGCTGTTTCCCTGCCCTTTCAGACCACGGAGCTTCTCATTGGGGGACTCTTTTGGCTCCGCCCACACAACCCAGCCAATCGGCCTCAAGAGCGGGAGGAGTGGGGGTTGAGAGGCTCCCCAGAAGCCAGAGGTGGCAGTTGGGCTCTGAGGGAATTCCTGAAGAGCTCCTGTGGTGCGTCCTATGTGTTCTAAAAATAAAGTTCGTTTCTGCTTGACAAGTGGCTGGTGAATTGTGCCCAGCCAGACTGCGGCATTTGGTGGCTTGCACGGGGAATGACTGAGGGTAAGTGATAAGGTAAACTGCTTGCCCCTGAGGGCAGGGCTAGAGGATGGGTAGCCATTTTAAGATTCTTCTTTCTTTTGTTTCGCTTTTAAGTTGCCTGTCCCTGGAGATGAGTGAGACGGAAGAAAAACCACTCACAACTGAGGAAAAACTATTGCGTCTGAGGAACAGATAGGGAGAAAGGACGGATGGACATTTCAGGAGGATAGAAAGGCTGATATAATGAATTTTTGTTTCATTCTGTTTCAGTTTTTGTTTTGTGTTCTCTTAGTGGGTTGTGTTATCTTTATAGTAGAAATATGGGATCAGAAATTAGTAAAAAACAAACCGAAAGAGTGTTAAGTAAATTGTTAGAGGAGGGAGGCACCCCAGTAAAACCAAGAACAGTCAGGGCATACGTTGATACAATACAAAAATGTAGCCCATGGCTTTTTAAGGAGGAGTTGTTGAATATATCACAATGGGACCATTATGGTGAAGATTTAAAAAGAATAGAAAAGAAAAGCCCAGGGACTCTGCCAGTTGGCACATTGCCATTGTGGATGATGATACGATTTTGTTTGCCTAGTCCAATGCCTTCAGTTCAGACTATGGTAGAAGACATGTTAGATCAAGTAAAAGAGAAGGTCTCTCGAGCTAGTCAGACAGAGGAAGAAAATTTAAAGGAGGAAAAGCCATCAGGGGAGAAGTTACAACAGGAGGCTGTTACTAAACACCTTTCTATCACCAGAGGGCGTAAGTGTCCAACCAACAGCGCCACCTCCATATGCTGGGAGGCCCCCAACCCCCGTAGTTGATAGATGGGATCCTGAGACAGGACCTCAAAGAGGGTACTCTGTTATCAAAAAACAGACAAGGACCAGGTGTTTACCCACGATATCATGGAGAAAGGCATTGGGCTCCACTGCCAAAAAACGGACAGGGGGGCCCAATGCTCCGGGGCTCAAGACCACAAATATACGGGGCACTGGAGGAACCCAGCAACACCATCAGGGTAGTGCCCAGGACACATTATCCATTAGATCCCTCACTAGACAAACCAGAGGAAGCGCAGGGTTGGACATCTGCACCTCTGCCAGAACAGTACTAACTCCAGAGATGGGAGTTCAAATCATTCCCACAGGAGTAAAAGGACCTCTTCCCCAAGGAACAGTAGACTTGTTATTGGGATGCAGTTCTACTACACTAAAAAGGACTTATGACAAGTCCTGGGGTAATTGATCCTGATTATGAAGGTGAAATAAAAATTATAGCCAGTTCTCCAAGGGATATATCAGTAATTTCACCAGGAGATAGAATAGCACAGTTATTAATAATACCCAGCCTACATGATAAATTTTCCAGTCATACTGTAGAAAGAGGTTCCAGGGGATTAGGCTCCACAGGTGTAGATTGGGTTATGCTTTCTTTAAATTTAGATTCTCGCCCCTGCTAAAACTAAATATTCAAGGACATGAATTTAATGGGCTACTGGATACAGGTGCAGACCTTAGCATCATATCTCATCAAGAATGGCCAAAACATTGACCATTACAACAAGCCACTCAAATGCTTCGAGGTCTAGGAGTGGCAACTAATCCCCATAGAAGTGCGATGGTATTAGATTGGAAGGATTTTAAAGGATGTAAGGGAACTATACAGCCATATGTATTGGATCATCTTCCTATAAATTTATGGGGACGAGATGTCCTAGATCAGTTAGGACTAGCATTAACAAATAACATCAATTCAAATGTGTCACTATTATGGCTAGACAAGGTTTTAGGAAAGAAAAAAGATTAGGAGAACAAGAACAAGGTATAGCAGCACCAATTCAAATAGATCAAGGAACAGACAGACATGGATTGGGTTTTCGGGAGGGGTCACTGAGACAATAAAAAATTACTTGGAAATCAGAAAGACCAGTATGGGTTCCTCAGTGGCCCCTGACTAAAGAAAAGATACAAGCAGCCCATGACCTGGTCAAACAACAATTAGCAGAGGGACATATACAACCTTCCGTATCTCCCCATAATACTCCCATTTTTGTCATCAAAAAGAAATCTGGTAAATGAAGATTATTGCAAGATTTAAGAGCCATTAATAATGAGATGGTTATTATGGGACCTGCTCAATAGGGGATTCCCCAATTGTCTGCTTTGCCAAAAACCTGGTATGTTTTAGTTACAGATATTAAAGATTTTTTTTTTTTCAATTCCAATTCATCCTGAGGATAGTCCACGTTTTGCATTTACTATCCCTGCACTGAACCATGAAGGTCCTGATCAGAGATATGAATGGAAAGTACTCCCCCAAGGGATGGCTAACAGCCCAACTATGTGTCAAATTTATGTTAACAAAGCAATCCAGCCACTTAGAAATCAAAATCCTGAACTACAAATATTTCACTGTATGGATGATGTATTATTAGCACACAAAGATAAAAAAGCTTTGCTAGAATGTTATGCCACACTTACAAACTTATTAAAAAATTATAATCTAGAGATAGCAATAAATAAAGTACAATTAAATTTTCTAATTAATTATTTAGGAGTTCTATTATCCTCAACCATGGTCCGTCCACCAAAAATTCAAATACGAGTAGAACAACTCAAATCACTTAACGACTTTCAAAAGTTATTAGGAGACATAAATTGGATAAGACCTTATCTAGGCATACCAACAGGAGAGTTGGGACCTTTATTTGATATTCTAAAAGGTCCATCAGATCCAAATTCACCCCGAATGTTAACGCCTGAAGCAAGAAAGGCATTAAAAATCATTGAAACATATATGGAAAATATACATTTGGATAGAATTGATATAAGTTTGCCTTTATTATTTATTGTACTACCAACAAAAAATATTCCTACAGGAGTATTTTGGCAAGAAGGTCCATTATTATGGATACATTTATCTTATTCTCCTAATACTATTCTTACTAGGTATCCTGAGGTTGTAGGACAATTAATACTCAAAGGAATAAAAGCAGCAAAGGGAGTGTTTGGAATTTCTCCCAATAAAATTATTACTCCATATACTATGGATCAAATTGATGAGTTAGCTAATGAGTTAAATACTTGGGCAATAATCATATGCAAATCTAATGTTTCATTTGATAACCACTTACCATCTAATCCTTTGTTGTCTTTTTGGTCATCGCATCCTGTAATTTTTCCAAAAATGACAAGAAAAACACCTATCATGAATGCTCCAAATATATTCACTGATGGGTCAAATAATGGTACAGCAGCAGTAGTTACCCCTGATCAAACTTTTACATTTTTAGTACCCAAACAATCAGCTCAAAAGGTAGAGCTTAATGCAGTATTACAAGCTTTTGGGATGTTTAAAGATTCTGTATTTAATTTATTTTCTGATAGTCAGTATATAGTTAATGCTATAGTATCCCTTGAAGATGCCGGTAGGATTTCCCCTTCCTCTACTGTTTTCTCTTTGTTTTCCACTATACAAAGACTAATCTAGGACAGAAAAGATCCATTCTTTATAGGACATATCAGAGCACATACAGGATTGCCTGGAGCCCTTAGTTTGGGCAATGATTTAGCAGATAAAACTACACATGACATACATATTTTCTCTACACTAGAAGAAGCTACAAAT